CCTCACAGTTTTAAAACGCGTCTACTAGGGAGAGGTTTTCACACCCTTATAAATAATTATTCATTCTCCTCTCCAACTAATGTGCAATCTCACAATCCATCTCTTTTGGGGGCCCAACGTCCTCGTTGGCGGTGATTCCATTTGTAACCGTTCAAACTCACCGCTAGCAAATATTGTTTTCTTTAAATTTTTCCTTCTAGGCTTCTCCTCAAGATTTTAAAATGTGTCTGTTAGGGAGAGATTTCCACACCCTTATAAGAAATGTTTTATTCTCCTCTCCAACCAATGTAGGATCTCACAATCCACCCCCTTGAAGACCCAACGTCTTCGCTGGCATACCGCTCGATGTCTAACTCTGATACTATTTGTAACAACCCAAGCCCACTACTAGCAGATATTGTCGTGTTTGAATTTTTCCTTCTGGACTTCCTCTTAAAGTTTTAAAACACGTAGGTTAGGAAAAGGTTTTCATACCCTTCTAAGGAATGCAATCTCGAAACTAACACAATTTTCTCTTACCCGTTACTAAACACAATTGCTTGAGTTCAACAATTATGTACAACAAATCAAACTCTTAATATTTAGAATGATAATTAGTGTCTTACCCATTTGCAGATTACCTTGTTGAAGGAGGATATTGAAAAGTATTGGCCAACCTATAGATGTGGTACTACATCCAACTGCCATGGTACCAAAGGATCATTTTGGGCTCATGAGGTTCATATCACTCTCTCTTTGTTCTTCCTTAGCTCATCTGTCAAACTTTGAGACTAATCCAAAATTCCTTTCCTTTTTCTCTTCTTCTCATATGATCGCCATTATCATATCAAATGCTACCATTGCTGCAGTATGGTCAGTTTCTTCTTCACTTCCAATCTTCTTGGAACTTGATATCTAGTTCTACTCAAATTCTAACCCAAACCCTCCATTTTCAGAGAAGCATGGGACCTGCGCAGCTCCTGTGATTGTCGGCGAATTCGATTACTTCTTGACAACGCTCACCATCTTCTCCAAGTACAATGTCACGGTAAGTAATACATCTCTATTGATATGAGGCCTTTTGGGGAAGCTCAAAGCAAAGCCACGAGAGCTTATGCTCAAAATGGACAATATCATACTATTATGGAGAGTCGTGATTACTAACATAGTATTAGAGTCATGCCTTAACTTAATCATGTCAATAGAATACTCAAATGTCGAACAAAGAAGTTGTGAGCCTCGAATGTGTAGTCAAAAGTGACTCAAGTGTCGAACAAATGGTGTACTTTGTTTGATGACTCCAGAGAAAGAGTCGAACCTCGATTAAGGGGAGGTTGTTCGAGGGCTTCATAGGCTTCAGGGGAGGCTCTATAGTGTACTTTGGTCGAAATACATCTTCGCTGGTATAAGGCCTTTTGAAAGTCAGCCATATGGTTTTGGTTGTGAGTATTAAATTTGGTGTCTTTTTCATTGTGGGTATCAAATTTGGTGTCTTTTTCGTTGTGGGTATCAAATTTGGTGTCATTTTCGTTGTGGGTATTAAATTTGGTGTCTTTTTCGTTATGGGTATTAAATTTGGTGTCTTTTTCAATTTGTTTATACCAGAAAGCGCTGAGCGATGCTGGGTTCGTAGCTTCCAATACTGAGAAGTATCCACTAGAAGATGTGGTGGATGCAGTCAAGAATGCTACCAATTCAACTCCAAAGATTAGCTGTGCTAAAAAGGGGGCTGTCAAGGAGCTTTGGATATGCTTTGACAAGAAATTTGAGGTGTTCTTTGTGTTCATAACAATCATATCTAATAAGCTTTTGGGTTGGATCAAATTGTTCATAGTTTTTGGTTGTTGCAGCCACGTGACTGTGATCTTGCCAATTCATGCCCCGAGTTTATTAAGCTCCCAACGTATGAGCCTCAGGATGTGGTGGAGGGAGCTATTCCATGGATTGCTGATGCTGAAGAACTTATTTAACCTGTTTTTGAAGCTCAAGTTGGACGATCCTTCTTGATGTCTAATTATCACTCTTTGAACTATAAAAGAGGGAGATCTCTCCTTTCTTTTTGTAGTTTCAATGCTATGAACTTAACTTTTTCTTTTTCTAAGTCATATTCCATATAAGATATGGTCTATTACTTACCTTTCTTGCCTTCAATTATGTTCTTTTACTATTCCAAAAGAAAATTAATGTTCTTTTCAACGACCCGAGTAAGATATGACTGAAGTAAGACCATACTCGAATAAGAGTAATCTTGTAAAAACTCGTTACGTATCGTCGTTAGTCTCACGGTTTAAACAAGTCTTTCAGAGTTAGACGGCGAAATGAGTACTCTTCCAAATACTGCCCTTTTTTGCTTTCTCTTCTTGACTTCTTCTTGGTGTTTTTGGGTTTTCCCTTCTGGGCTTCCCCATTACGTGTCTCTGTTATACTCATCCAGATACTGTTCTCTTTGGACTTTCTCTTTCCGACTTTCCCTCGAGGTTTTTGAGTTTTTCCTTTTAAGGTTCTCCATTACGAGTCTATTAGGGGGAGGTTTACATACCCTTATAAGGAAAGCTTCGTTTCCATCGGCTTAAAAAAAATGAAAGTTACTACCTATACTAATAAAAGATAACGATGCGTGCTCTTTAATCAAAAGTGGACATTATTACTCCGAGATATATATAGAAATATAAAAAGGTCACTCATTCCAATAAATTGTATTACTACATTTGAATTATTAAAGGTAGAGGGAAAAAAATCCATTATTTATTTATTTATTTATTTTACTAAATATTTTTATTGAAAACATAAAATAAAATGACATTTTTGCCCATCAAAACTACCAAAATTACCTTAACCTTGTATAAGTAATGATTTGTAGAAAGAATAATAATAATAACATGGCTTCTTTCACGTTCAAAGCGGCGGCGCAGGTGGTGCTTATGGTTCTTGCTGTTACTCTTCAGCCGCAGGCGGCGGAGGGCCTCACCGTCGGCAAGGAGCAGAGGGAATTTGACTACTTTGTGTTGGCTCTTCAATGGCCAGGCTCTTCCTGCAGAAACGTAAGCATGTGCTGCCCCACCAATGGTTGCTGCCACCGGTGAGAGTTTCATCCATATTCTCGTGGTACCTGAAATTCCGATCGTGTCGTGCCTTTTATTATCGAGCTAATTACGTTCTTGTTGTGCATGTCTCTCTAGAGCTGAATTTCCCGCAGAGTTTACAATCCGTAAGTGTGAAAGAAAAGAAGATTTTGCTATTGATTTGGATGTGATGTTCAATAATGATATTATAAAAGTTCGGGTTTGGTAAAAAAAATCTCGTAACCCAACCCAACTCGAGCCATGTACACCCCTAATATAAGTGTTTGAAAATGGCGCATGCAGATGGGCTATGGCCTCAATATCAAGAGAAAGGGTGGCCTTCATGTTGTACTAATGAAACCTTCAACGAAAATGAGGTTATTTCCTCTTACTCTCTCTAAAAATTAGGGTTTGTTATACGAAAATATTGACAAACCTGTGAACCGTACTATTTCTTTAAACCTTGTAGGTTAGTTCCTTGTTTGAAGATCTTGACCGTTACTGGCCAAGCTATCGGTGTGGTCTCGTGAGCAGCTGCGATAACAAAAAAGGATCATTTTGGGCTCACCAGGTTCAAATTCTCGAGTGAAAAATATAGTTTTGGTTCACGAAGTTTGACTTAGGGCTATGAGTTTTCAAACTCGATGAATCACGACGACCCATCTTAAAATTAAAATGTCGAGTTTGAAAATTCAGATAGTTAAATACTACTTAAGTCAAACTTCAAGAGTCAAAAGTATATCTTTCTCGAGTCTCAATCTCTCGGTTATTTCTTCCTTAGTTGATTATGAAAATTCCGTGACTGAATCCCGAAATTCTCTCTTTTTCTCGGGTTATTATATGATGGGTCATATGACATGTTACGTTTGATGCAGTATGGTATGTTTTTTTCTCCTTTAAAAAATATATTTTTGGGAGGAAAAAAAACACATTTAAAATACAATTTATTTTTGTGCAGAGAAGCATGGAACCTGTGGATCACCTGTAATCCTCCACCAATATGATTACTTCTTCACAACTCTCGCCCTTTTCTTTAACTACAATGTCACTGTAAGCTCTTATAAACCTCTCTCAAATGGATGTTTGTGTGCCTTCTTTTCGATGCATAGCTCGGGTAAGAATTCGGTGAAACAAACGAGAAATTATTGTAAGAATTCAGTCACGTTTCCCACAAAAAAAATAAATGGAGAATTTTGATGATTAAAATAGGAGGTGGGAACGAGGATAGTAAAGGCTTTCTTGTTGTCTTTTATCTTCTACAGTTATCGATTTTCGACCGTTAAAATCTCAGGAAGTTTTGGAGGATGCTGAAATTGTAGCTTCTGATACCAAAAAGTATGGTATTGAAGATGTGTTTGAAGCTGTTCGGTCTGCATTTAAAGCGAATCCAAAGCTTAGCTGCGGTAAAAACGGGATTATTAAGGAACTTCGTCTATGCTTTGATAAAGAATTCAAGGTAATACATCACTTTGTGTCTATAAAAGACCTTAGCTACTAGTTTATAAAAGACCTTAGCTACTAGTTTCCATCCAATGAGGAACGTAAATCATTTACTCGTTGCAGGTAATCGATTGTGATGCTACAAAATCATGTCCCAAATTTGTTCGTCTACCAGAATTCCATGAACTACCAAGTAAGTTTCTTATATCTCTTTAAGTGTAGAGATCACATATATATTATAGTTAAGACTAAATAGAACACCGATATTAAAATTGAAAAGATTTGGACGAGGATAACACACCTAACTCCGACAAATTATTTCATTAAAGATCAATATTTAAATTAATAATGAATATATTTATGTATTTGAGGTTGCTTTTGATAAAATTATATTGTGTGTATTGCAGGGTCGACCATGGTTAAGAGAGCAATTCCAAGAATGATTGACGTTGAAGCAACTTCATTTTTTTCGTCAAACAAAGTGTGAAATTCAAGAGTATTTGAATTAATTTAGTGAAATAGTTAACTTAGTTTGTCGAATAACAATTCACAAAAGTTTCCATCTTTGTCGGACAACATTTCCATAACTTCAATCAAGCAATAAGAATAATTTTTTTAGAAATGATATATGTCTTAACCGGTTGAGCTAAGAAGTACGTATGGGAAGGTTAGATTAGTAATGTCGGTGGACGAAGAGCTTACGAGAGGCGGTGTACCAGCGAGAGTATAGGAGGCATGGAGGTCAGGCCAGTCGGAGGAGGAGGAGTAAGTAAAATGGTGGAGCCACAGAGCCAAGACTTGTTCTTGATCGTCTTGTTGCAGTGTGGCTATCATCTCCTCCAACGCTGACTCCACCTCTCGGCGCTCCCCGGTGCTTAGGATGGGCGCATCAGGCCCATTGACGCCTCTGCATAGCAACGGAAGCCATGAATTCAGCATCTTCAGCTTGGTTTGCATCTGCCGCCGCCGTCTCTCACTCTCTGCTTCTTCTTCCTTTCCCATTTCTCGGCATTGCTTGAACATGAATGCTACTCATGAAATCGTAAGTTTTCGTGGTTAGATATCAAAAATTCTGTGAAAATTGGAGAGAATTTCAGAGAATCCCATGAACATACCTGCGAGTTTAACTAATGAGCCCTGTAGTTGCGGCTCCGCCGCGAGAGAGAGTCTTCCCAATTGACCCGCCGAAGCCCACCGCCTACAAGCCTCACTCCGACAACCGCAACTCGCCATTTTTTCCGCTAACCACAGCGCCTCCGCCGCCAATTTCTCCGCCGAGATTCTGGTCTGGTTTGCCCCCTCCTTTACCCTACCGAGCCGGCTATACGCCTACTCTCCCAAAAACCGAACCGCCCTCACAATCTGACCTAACCGGAACTCCGCCGGTCCATTCACGGACCCGCCGCCACAGTCTTCGTCGTCATCGTCCTGAAAAAACCCTAAATCTAGCATCCGAGCTTCAATCTGGCCAATTGTCCGGTTAAAGGCCGTGGAAAGAACCGTACGATTGACCTCACGAAGTTCCTTAATCCCTTCCCAGTGATTCTCGTCGATTAACTTCTCCGCTAACGATCGAACCACTTCGTACTTGCGAGAACTGACTGGAATGTGACTGATAATCGACAACAATTGCGTTAGGGCTCGAGAAATCCCTAAATCGCCGCCTCCGCTTCCGTTTCCGCCGCCACCGTAACACACACTTTTTGAGGGTTTTAGAGGGAATCGATCGCCGGGAACCAGGTGGATTGAAGAGAAAAAGGAAGGAAGCAAACGGAGGAAAAAGAGGAAGGAGGAGACTAATAGTTTGTGAATAATCTCGAGGAGTATGTATTTCTTAGACAAATTGATGAAGGATTTATCGGCAAAGACGAAGAGAGAAGAGGCAAGACTCCGTACAAGAAGCGGAGCCATGGTGGTCGGAGAGGCTTCGGCTTAACCCATGGCGGTTGTTCCAGTATGCTTTTCCGGCGAAGGGTTGCTCTGTTTTTAAGCGGAGCGAAAAAGGACAGAGAAAGAAACGCAACGACAATACCTTCTTCTGTTTTCTACTTTACCTTTTTGTTGCTTAGCAAAATGTTTTTTTTTTCTTTTTTATTCTAATAAATTTATGTTTCTTGTTTTTTCTTTTTTAATAAAGCAAAATATATATATATATATATATATATATATATATATACACTTTTTTTTTTCCGGCCAAGATAAAAATAACATAAACATGTTATTTTAAATTGAAAATGTAATTAAAAATTAAATATCGAACAAAAATTATGATATATATTTTAGATTTTTTTTTCTTTCTTTTTTTTTACAAATAATACTTTTGTTTTGGAAAAAAAAACCGAAAACAAAATCAAAAAACTTCATTTGGTTGTTTACACAAACTAAGAAAACTAAATTCGGTCGGGTTAGTTATGTAATTTGTCAACCCAAGCTCAATAGTACCCGATGAAAAACGGATATTGTCTCTCACAAAATCATCAAATTTGAGCATTCTTACAATACTGTCGAAAAACATTAACCGTAACTCAGTTTTTTCACCGAACGCTTCAGATGGCCTGTAATAACTAGAATAAAGGAAAAAAACGAGACAATAGAATACGCAATTATATTAGCTAAAATGGTCAAATTCTCCTGATACATTAAGATACACGCCCTCTTATGAGGGAGCATGTAACGGTCCAAGTTCACCACTAGCAAATATTGTCCGCTTTAACCCGTTACGTATCGCCGTCAGCCTCACGGTTTTAAAACGCGTCTATTAGAGAAAGGTTTCTACATCCTCGTAAGGAATGTTTCGTTCCCTTCTCCCACCAATGTGGGATCTTACATAGCAACATAACAACGGGAGCTTCTTCTTTTAACCATAGAAATGATATATTTTGAAGGATTGAATACATCAACCAAAAAAGCTTATGAATCTATTAGAACAGTTGCATACATGTCAGGCAGGTGTTCCAAGGAGACCCAAAGGCCAAACCCAGACCTCCAAACTGTTTCATAAGTTCATTCATGTAAAAGAAATCATGTAAAAGGATCAAACTGCACCAAATTTAGAACAACAACATCATATTCTACCACAGAGATGCCTTTTTCTTTCTTTTTTTTGCACAATTCTTCGTTCTGGGAATGGATTAAACATAATAGAGAGTTGAATGCCATGAACCAAGTAATGGTAACATAAGTTTTAGCCTCTGAAACATACTACGATGATCGAGATGTCGTCTTTGCTTTCCCGTTTCAACGCTTCTGCTGCTAATTGTTTTGCTGCTCGCTGCGGATCCTTCGTTCTTCTTGCTATATCCACCGCTTCTTGATTCGTCATCACCTGAATTTTCCATAAGAAGTTTGAGAAATGCATTCAAAATGGATACTTGTTGCAGTTTAATGGGAAGCAATCAATCACCTTCCATAGACCATCACTTGCTAAGATAAGAAGCTCGGTGTCGGAGTCGATATCAGCATTCTTTATGTCGGGATCAGATCGCAAGTGTGTCTTGAGGTTCTTGTCGCCAAATGCTCTAGAAACTGCTAGCTGCCCATTCACTCTTGCAACGTCTCCTAAAATGACATGAAATAATCAGACATTATTATGAAGTTGAACAATGAAAACCATAGCAAGCTCAGAGTTCTGAACCACTTTACTCGACGACCGCCATATTTAACAACATTTGGCGTTCGAAGATTCATTAGATATTCAGTTTTCTACGTAGATGACCCAAAAAAGCTTGCATTCATGAGGATACATCAATGCATTACCAGACCTGGCATGTTAGAGACGAATCCACCTCTGTCCTCAATACTTCCTCGCTCGGTGTTTGGCTCGTGATCAACAGACATTTGCTCTTCCTGCCCTTTTCTCGAAAGGACTGCTCGTGAATCTCCAACATTAGCCACCCATAATTTCTGACCGTTTATCAAAATTGCAGTGACCGCGGTGGATCCACCTCTTCCCAAGTCAGGACTGTGTGAGAGTATCGCTTGGTCTGTCGTCTCGTAAGCCTTAAAGATCGAGCTACGGGGATTCGACCAGAATTCCTCCTGAAGCGATTGCAAGATATCATGCCAAGATGAGTTTGATAATATATTGCAATCTTAATGAAACTAGTGAAGAACTTACATCATTCAGTATATTAGGAAATAGATGCTTCTGAAGATAGGCTGGTACACTGTCTCCTAAGTGTCCATCATATATGGCGAAAAGGCCTAGCTCATGGCCATGCACTGTTATAAATTTAGCAACATGATAGTCTTCCATGGGATGGTTTGCTTTCCCTTTTACTAAGCTAAAGCCATACCTGGCAGGGCATTGGTTGCCCCTGCCCTTTCCAGAGCTACCAGGCGAACGACCTCCTACAAACTAACGACAAGGGGACATCCCAGTTCAAAATAAAACTTTCGTAGTTCATAATCAGTAATATCGAGATGAATGTGCCTAAAACACAAAAGTTCATTTCGAGGAAACGCTCAAGATTAAATGCATCAAAAGAGAATGAAACAAGCTAATGAGTCCATGTCAAAAACCGTTGAACGTATTAAGAAGACGGGCATGATTGAAATATAAGCACTACTCCATCAAAAGCTACAAAAATCTTCAGGTTTTGTTCATTATAAAGACAAATCCAAAGACGTTGAGGACAATCCATCGTGGTATAGACAAATACCGAGAAACTAACTGTAATAGCCCAAGTCCACCGCTAGCATATATTGCCCTCTTTGGACTTTCCCTTATGGGCTTCTCCTCAAGGTTTTAAAACGCGTCTGCTAGGGAGAGGTTTCCTCATCTTTATAAGGAATGTTCCGTTCCCCTCTCCAACCGATGTGAGATCTCACAATCCACCCCCCTTGGGAGAGCCAGCGTCCTTGCTGGCACACCGCTCTATGACTGGCTCTGATACCATTTGTAACAGCCCAAGTCCACCCCTAACAGATATTGTCCACTTTGAACTTTTCCTTCTACGCTTCCCCTCAAGGGTTTAAAACACGTCCACTAGGGAGAGATTTCCACACCCTTATAAGGAATGCTTCGTTCCCCTCTCCAACAGACGTAGAATATCACACTAACATTAGAGAGTTTCCAACATTTTCTGGTCTACTCGTCAAATTGCAAAACCTTAAATGAACAAACAAACAGCAAGTACACCAACTTTGAACTTCAAGGAACAAAGAGGAGTCGACAATTCTTCTAGATCATGTCGTGCGAAGACGATCACTATCGTTCGTCTTGCTGTATTCAGAATCAAAACTCCCATAAACACAAGGACTGAACTAGTTCATAATCCCATACCACAAAGTTAGCTACCTTTAACTTGTTGAAACAAACTTCTAAAGTTAACAAAACCAGTTGAACAAACAAATCAAGAACAGGTCCATTCGATGGCTGATGAGTGATGGGTATAAGAGAAATTCAAGCTCAAAGATGGATCATACAACTCATCCGAACCTCATAAACAACCTCCACACAGAGTTCATCACAAGTCAACAGATATGATATCATGAATTCAACATAAAAACAGCCAAAGGAGAAGATATCACTACCTGAGAATAAACAGAATTGAAGCAGCATAAGTTATCCATACAATTTATTCTTCCCACTTCACTTTCTTTCCCCGTTCAACAATCATCCACCTCAATAGCAGAAGAGAGGCTCCTAAATTTCTCCCAAAAATGAAGAACAAAAACCCCCAGAAGAAGAGGGAAAAATCAGACTCCAACCAACTGCAAGTTGAGAAAAACAATTCCGATCAACCAAACGCCAAATACCCAGGATTAAAAACAACCCTACAACACCAAAAAGTCAAGGGAATTACAAAAACAATAAAGAACATACCAAAAGAGCAGCCGAGAGGTCGGGTTAGCGATCCAGAAGTCGTCGAAATTCGAAAAAAAAGCGAGAAAAGACAACAACCCAGAACCAGAATTATTGATTAATCTGTACTGGAATCAGTGTATTGGGAAGAAAATGAGCAAAAAAAGGAGGTTGTAACGAAGAAGGAATGGATGGAGTTTTGTGTAACCGTTCTAATTAAGTTGGAGTAAGTCCACGCGGTGGGAAGAGAAAGAAATCGCAAAAAAGGGAAGTGGAAATGGAGGCTAATACTACCAAGAGGGGCTCAGCTTTCCCCTTGTTGACTTCGATTTTTAGTGCTCCTTTTTCTTTTCTTCTCCTTTGTCCAATTTTTTTTAACCAATTCGAAATTTTGATGAGTCCAACCCATCTCCGAATTCTCTGAGTTGGATTAGGTCTTCTATACTCGATTGGTTTAATTTTTTAACTAACTCGAAATTTTGAATTCATCGAATTCATTATCTAAATCAATAAGTTCAACCCATATGGTGTTTGTTTAATTTTATTTGACACACAAAAATTCAGGTTGGATGGATTGACTTTGACCAAAAAAATTCCAATACAGAGGAGATTAAAAATTTTAACCCAAAAAAGGAGGAGGGTAAAGTTGGAATTTAAGAAAAAAATTGGTTCGGGTAGGCGCGTGTATTTCACGACTTGAGGTGGGGTCCACAAAGATGGAAAAAGTCAGCCATTGTGGTTCCATATGGAAACCTCGATTTGTTGGTATTATTTTGTCTGTACCAAAAAGTCTTCGCTACGAAAATTCAATTTCTTTTGGGGTCTATGAATTTTGTCGATTATTGGGCTTCCCGGCTTTGACTCCGTCAATCACTATTATTTTATTTCCTTTTTTTCTTTATTAAACCCTTTTTATTTCCCTCTAATTTAATTCTATACCTTTAATTACTATGATAATTTAATTTTTCAACCATTTTTTTTTCATTTTTGTATTTTAGCAAGAAAGGAGTTAAATTTTTTTAAAATAAAACCGTTGACATTACTTTTTGTCAGGTCAACCCAATCAATTCCCAAACAAAGTTACCATTTAAACTTTACTTTTAATATTATTATAAAGATTAAAAATATTTTATTTTTGTTACTAATGTTAATTACGCATTATAATTCGTAAATGTTTAATATTTGAGTTTTACTATATTTTATTATTAATATAATATATATTGTGGTCGAATTTTTT